GGAATTTTGATTAAGTCACAGTAATTCTTCCCAGGTACATATGAAGGAGAGTACTTACTCATTAAGAGATCTCACAGGCAGTCAATAAGCATTGTGTTTAATAACTAAGTCAAGAACGGGTTGACATATTAAGATATGACCACTAGTCTATTTGTATCACAATTACTTATAGTACTTTTAACAATTACTTGTTTAAAACGCAGATTCTTGTGTCCCACCTCAGACATGCTCAATGAGAATCTCTAAGCAATAAGACTCAGGAATCCATAATTGTAAAAAGCAACTCATGTGCAGTATTCTTACAATAAATTAAGCTGGAGAAAAGAAAATGTTAAGAAAATCCTAGGAAGACAAAATACATTTACAGTGCTGTATTTTATTGACGAGGCCCCACACAGTTCAAACCCATGTTCTTCAAAGTCAATTGTAGTTAAATTGCCTAACATCACAAAACTGGTGATTAAGATATAAACCCATGCAAACTGACTCTGGATAAAGTTGATGCTGTCAATAATACCCCCCTTCCTTCCATTTTCCCTTCCTCCCTCCCTTATTTCCTTGTTTCCTTCCTTACTTTAACCCCTTGAGTTGTTCAAGATTCAACTGTAATCTTTTTCTGCCTTAATTTCCTCTTCTGTACAATGAAGATAATAAAGTGTCTACTTAATAGGATTCATTAAGAGAATTAAATGAGTTAATATATAAAAAATACTTAAAACAATACTCACACATAGTAAATATTATGAAGAATGTACTATATTATTATTTTTTGCACTCCCATACTATTATTTAATAATGCTGCATACTTTTGGTTCTCTGCTTTTTAATTCTGCATTGTTCCCCCCCCCCATTTTCTATAACCTAAGTTTATATCTTTGATTCTCTGTTCTCCATTTTGATACTCACTTCTTTGAATATAGACTCCACTGTTAAAGTCTCAAATACCACTTGCAGATAATGAGGAAATCTAAAACTCTACCTCTAGCCTCTCTCCTGAACTCTAGCTTTCAACTCCAACAGATCTTTGGATTGTTCCAATAGAATTTCCTACCAAGATCTCAAGATATATATGTCTCAAACTGAATTAGTTGTCTTCTCTTTGACCATTAGTCAATGGAATAATTTTGGGGGCATTCAGACATTTTTTTTCCCTTCCCAATGTAACCAGTTATCAGGCCTTCCTAATTTCTTTTAAAAAATGATTTTCCAATTTCACTTTTCTATATTTCTCCCACAGTTCAAAATACTAGCACATTTCAACACTTACATTTAACTTATCTTCCAACCTTCTCTCTTTTCAATCTTGGCATCTGGTACTGATCAGTCTTCTTAAAATGGGAATTTGGAACATAATCATTTATCAGTTTGAAATTCTTAATTAGTTTTCTATTGCCCATAGATCAAATCTTAAATGGCAGAATATAAACTCCATGAAGGGAACAATTTTCATGCATTTTGTTCACCAATGTAACTCAGTGCCTAGAAGAATTCCTGGCACATAGTAGGTATATTCAATGACGGAATGAACCCTTATCCTGGCATTCAGAGACTTCCATATTTTGCTCTCCATCTCCCTTCTCATGGACAAATCTTTTTTTTTTTTTTAATTTTTAATGTTTACTTATTTTTGAGGAGGTATGAGCAAAGGAGTGGCAGAGAGAGGGGGAGACACAGAATCTGAAGCAGGCTCCAGGCTCTGAGCTGTCAGCACAGAGCCCATCATGGGGCTTGAACCCACGAACTGTGAGATCATGACCTGAGCTGAAGTTGGACACTTAACCAACTGAGCCACCCAGACACCCCGTGATTCACAAACTTCTAATCCAAACTGATGAATCTGTTTCTTTTTCTGGGAATATAATTCAGACATCCTCCTTTTGCCCATTTTTGTGAGTCCCCTTTTCTCCATTTCCAAGCACATTATGTTTCTTTGCTCAACCTATAAAAATTCTTTTCACTTTCCAAGGCCCAGCTATGTCCCAGGGTCTCTAGTTAATCTGTCTTGGTAAATTTGATCTATGTGAATCTCCACCATCCTAAAAATCTATAGCATTTAAGCTTTACAATGTTTATTTTTTACTAGGCAAATGCCTCTGCTCCCACAAACAAATGTACTCTATTTGAGGCTATGTGTACCCTTTGGCAACTTGATATTACCTCTAGCAACTATTCTCTTCCTGTAGTCAAAGAACCTGAGATACATTTTAATTATAACTCCATGTCACACAGCATTTAAATACCACCCTCAACATTATGAATAGAAAAAAATGTTTTTAATCCCTAATGATTGATGGGAAAATGGAGAGATTAGGTGAGTTACTGCTTAATTCCTGTCTATTCTTTCCACCAAACCAAATTACCGTTCTTTAGTTGACTAGTAATCCAAAAACAGCAAAAATGTAGTTTATGGCTATTTAAGAATGGCGATCATCCCTCAGCCCTGGATTTCTAGAAGGATTCCAGAAAGCTGTAGCTAGAAATCAAGGGGTGGAGTGATTTTACAGTGATTAGACCAGGTAGGCTGCACCTTAACTAAGTGATCAAAGTTAACATTATTAGTAATAAGATATATCAACATTATTTATACCCAATATGATGCCCTGAGAAAGAGACAACATCACTTCAATAGCATTTATGCCAAAAATACATAACCTGAATCTAATCATGAGAATATATCACACAAATTCAAATTGAGAGACCTTCCATCAAATGACTGACCAGTGCTCTTTCAAAATGTCCAAGTTATGAAAGACAAAAGAAGACAGGAACTTCCACAAATGGGAGGAGACTAAAGAGATAAAACAGTTTTAATTAATCTCTTTGTTAATTAATTAACTACAAACAGTATAGGCTCCTGAATTAGATACGAGGCCAGACAAAGGACATCTTAGAAAATTGGCAAAATTTGAATAAGAGCTTTAGTTAGTTAATGGTATTGTATCAGTGGTAATTTCCTGGTTTTTTTTTTTTTTAATGTTTTATTTATTTCTAGGAGAGAGAGAGAGAGACAGTGTGAGCAGGGGAGGGTCAGAGAGAGAGGGAGTCACAGACTGAAACAGGCTCCAGGCTCTGAGCTGGCAGCCAGCACAGAGCCCGACGCGGGGCTCGAACCCACGAACCGCGAGATCATGACCCGAGCGAAAGTCGGACACTTAACCAACTACGCCACCCGGGCGCCCCTCCTGGTTTTGATCATTGTACTACTGCATGTAAGCTATCAGTATTAGAGGCAGTTAGGTAAAAGGTATACAGGAACTCTCTCTACTATTTTTGTAACTTTTGTGTAAATCTAAAATTACTTCAAAATAAAAAGTTGAAAAATTGAGGGAAAGAAAGATAAATTCTATGTTCCTGGAAGAAAAAAGATTCCCCAAATTTTTCCTGGAAAAAAATTCCTAAAATTGCAAGGGCTGCATCGATCATTTCCATTCTTCAATATGGTCTCTTTCACTTTTATAATATGTGTGTAATGCGGGATGCTTTTCAGTATGTGGAGGGATCATTAGCTGTAGATGCCATGCAGAATAGACCAGGAAAACTTGGAGAAATGATATTCAATGGTATACAGCAGTCACTCATTAGACATGCTAAGTAGTATGTTAGGTGCTCAAAATTCAGCGATGAGTAAGATAATAGATCCCTGGCCTCCTGAAATTTCCAGTCTTATTAATAAAATGATGAAATCAGAAAGTTAATCCCGCTCCCCTCCCCCCCAAAAAAACTTGGAAGGTAGACGTCTCAGGCTGTGAAAGGGCTTTGAGGGGATCGACGCTTATATTATAAAAAAAATATGTTACAAAAAATGGAGAAGGTATTCAAATTGGAAAGACTGATGTCTTAGCATGTTCTGGATGCATAAACACAGATTATTAATCCATGCTTGTAAACTGGAGAAGGGCAGAAAGCAGAAATTGTAGTACCGGGGACAGACCGAAAGGCAAGAGTGAAGGGGAGGAAAGGTCGTCGCAGTCCATTTATATGGCTTAGGCCACAAGCATCACTGCAAAAACACAAGAAGGTCGGAGGAGAATGAAGTTCCGCTGAGTATAATTTCAGAGGAGAGAGGAAAAAATTGGGGATGGGAGACATGCAAGCGGAAAACATCAAATTGGGGACTGCAGAAAATAAGGACGAAGGAAGGATACTAGTCACCTAGAAGTTTCGGGGACGACGAGGGAGGGTGGCGTGGGAAGCGAGGGCGTCGGGGCGTGGCCGGGGCAGCCGCGGGCCCTGGGGCTTGCGGACCCGGGCGCGGGAGCTGGGCTTGGGTCGCGGGTAGGTTGCGGGGCGGAGGGGGAGGTGTGCACTGTGTTTGGTGATGTCATTGCAAGTCAGTGAGCGGTGAAATTTAACACCGGCCGGATTTGCTAGACTCCTCTTCTTCCAGGGGAAGCAGCCGGCGGCAGTCAAAGCTGAGCGCCCGCAGTTGCCACCAGCCCCCTTGCACCAACTAGATTTCCGAAGTGGGTGTGTGTGCTTGTGTGACAAATGTTCCGGCGCGGGTTGTTTCCAAGGACTTCCCCCACCCTTCACCCCCTTCATCTCCTTCCCTCCCCCAACCCTTCTCTCCTCCCAGGCCCAAGGCAGAGGACTCCACTGGAGTCACAGAGTCGCCTTTGAACCGCAAGTGAACTCGAGGGCTGCGCTCGCGGCCGAGCTCCAGCTGCTGCCGGCGCCCCGCCGCCTGCCCCTGAGGTCTCGCCTCTCGCCCGCCCTCCCAGAGGGGCGCTCCCCCCGGGCTCGTCCGTTACCGAGCTAGGGAACTAGAAAACCTAGCTCGCGTAGACCTACCCTTTGGGTGCTATTTCTCTCCCCCTTCCTATTTCCCTCCTCCCTTTTTGTTGTTGTTGAGGTTTCTGGAGCATCGTTTTCATGTGAGTTTTTTTTTTTTTTTTCTTTTTTCCCTTTTTCATGGCCAGTACCTGCACCCTTAGCAGTTTGGAGTTGCCTTCTGTTTTCCGTTAGTGCTTCGCTGCAGGGACAAATGCATACAAATGCATTTAGGAGCCCACAGGACAAGGCGTGGAAAGGTCTCCCACACGGCAAAAACGTAAGTAGCCCGATCTCCAGGATGCAAGGGCTAGACTCACCCCTCTGCCCGACCCCCGGACCCACTGGGCGGGCTGGCGATCTGCGCTCCCGCTCCTCGGCACTTTTTGTAAAGTTGGGAGCCGGCGAGCAGCCGTGGCATCCTCCTCTGGTCTCCTCAATTTGTAAAACACCGTGTTTGAAAGGAAGCCTCCTGCCAGAGGATCTCTCAGACAGTTTATGCTAAAGAGGTCCTGCGGCTGGGAAGGGAGAGCTCGCTGGCGCGCGTCCCGGCCCCGGCGGCAGCGGCTCCCGCGACTCCGGAGCTGAGCTCGGAAGCCGGCCGGGGCTCCAGCTCCCGCCGCCTCGCGCCCTCCTGCGAGCCCTGTGTCGGGGCCCAGGCGGAGGTTCTGCTTTCTCGCGGAGCTCGCTCGCGCGTTCCGCCTGCGGACCGCTGGGGTGCTGGCGGTCCTCCGCGCTCGGCCGGCGCAGCCTGACCGCGGGGCACAGACGTGGGGTAGGGTTGCCGGATGGGGGGAGACGGTACCCACTAAACCTCGGGCATCAGGCTCAGAGGCAATCTCCTCTTGTTGTTGGGAGGCCAACACACGTGTTGCCCATCTGGGGCCGAGGCTGCGTCCTGCTCCACCGGCCTGTCACTGGGGAAGGGGCTGGGCGCGGGGGCGGGGCTGCTCCTCGGGAGGAGGGTTCGCGCAGGCCCCGACGGGCACCCCACCTCCTCTTTGGGCTCTGTACCTGCCCCCACTCCCTCCCCGGGATCAGAGAGTGGAGGGGGGTGCGTGCCTGGGCTGGCCGCCCTACTCCCCCTGGAAGAGGTCAGTGGGTTATGCAAGTTTGTTTCTGGCTCCCGGGGCGGGAGGGGCCAAAGCGGCGGTGGTCGTTCTCTCCGTGAAGCTGCCCCTTGGGAGAGGAGGTGGGAGGTGGGCAGGGGGCAGAACTGGCCGTGCCCCTGAGGGCAGGCGGAGGGAGGCGGGGCGCGGGGAAAGACCGCCTTGTGGCAGTGTTTGTGTGCACATGTGCTCCCCAGCCGCGTGCAGCCGTGCGTGGCTGGGGCTCGCGCGCTCTCGCCTCCGGCCCCTGGGAGCCTGGGCGGCCGGGCTTCCTCGCTGCGCTCCCGCCGCCGGACGATTCAGTGGGGAGGACGGCTGGCAACCCCGGGTGTGGGGCCAGGTGCCCGCGACCAGGGAGGTCCCGGTCCCAGAAGAGGCCAGGCAAGGCTGGTCGCCTTCCCCAGGGCGGCTCACGCGGGTCGCATCAGCTTCCCAGGCAGGTTTCCCGCCACATTTCTCTAGAAAAGCCTCTCCGCACGGACCCGCTTGGAAAGCCGGGCTCCAGGCGCCGCACAGCCTGCGGGACCGCGCGCATCCTCCCGCTGATACAGGCGGGTGGAATGGTGGAATGTGCTGCGGGCTCCCGAGGGTCCAGAGCCAGCGGGGGAGGCCGGGGGAGGCCGCGGCCTCCGCGCCCATCCCCTCTGGCCCTCCCGGCCAGCACCCATCCCGGGGGCTTTCGCTTGGATCCGGAGCAAGATCTGCGTGGCTGCCCAACCGTCCGCGGGCTCGGTAGTTTTGCCCCATCTCGACGATTAAAGCAGATCTGCTCCTGGCCTCTGTCTTGTCTGGTTTACACTTCCCTTCCAGACGCTCCCAGAAAAGGCCCTGCATAAATTTTTGGGCAGTTTGGGGTTTGTAAATTGGGTCCAGATGATTGGGGGGAGGGAGGCCGAGAAACCAAACAGAATGGATTACACCAAGGAACTGAGGAAAAGTTAGACTACGTGGAATGGGAAAAGAGCCCTTTCTGAGAGACGCTGGAGTTGGCGGAGAGCGGATTGCGGGTGAAGGCACTGGTCTAGAAGGTCTCTCTCTTCCAGGGAGCTTGCAGCTTCCTTGACATCCAGTTTGTTCCGCTACAATTGTCAATGGGGGTGGGCTGCAGAGAATTCAGAAGTAATTCACAGTTAGATCAGATTGCAGCCCCTTATAGCTCCAACTATACACATGCCAAGTGGGGAAAAGGTAGTTACTGATTAATCTGAGAAAACTGTTCTCAAAAATAATCCAGTTTCCCCAAAGAATTATGCATATTTCAATTTGAGAAAACAACCAACCAAACTAAACAAAAACAAAAACAAAAAAACAACCCCTGCTACCAAGCCTATAGGGGAAGGGACTTGGCAGAAGTAGCTGATTAGCTGATGATAATGTCAAGCCACTGAATTAAACCTTAGAGTTTCTAATGAAATCCTTGAGGTTTTAATTTTCCACCATCCTCTTGTGGTGACGTTTTTGTAAGAGCAGGAGCAGTTTTTTTTTTCCCCTAAATCACAATTCTGATTAGTCATCCAGAAACATTTACAGTTTTAAAACTGGATCCTTAAATACATTTTGTTTAATGGGGCTGCTTTTCTTAAATGCTTGTTTATTTTTGAGAGAGAGAGACAGAGCGTGAGTGGGGGAGGGGGAGGGAGAGAGGGAGCTACAAACTGAAGCAGGCTCCAGGCTCTGAGCTGTCAGCACAGAGCCCCATGAGGGGCCAAACCCACAAATCTGGAGATCATGACCTGAGTCCAAGTCGGACACTTAACCGGCTGAGCCACCCAGCTGCCCCTCATGGGACTGCTTTTAAGTGAGTTGCCTAGTGTGAATTTGTGGAAGTAATAAAGGAAGATTAAAACCAAAAGGGATAGATACATGATTTAACACTATCAGAAAATCTCCCATGCAGGCTATTATTGTAATCAAAGGGTTTCCATAACCAAGGTGGGGGTGGAGAAGAGTTTTGAATATAAACACCTATTTCCTAGTCGGCATGAAATTCTGTTCTTTAAAGTCGCTTAGTTATCTTTGCTTTCAAGTAGATGTTTAAAATAAAACTGATGTCTCAAGAACAGGGATTGTAAATTATGGAAAGTAATTTTGAGTGTTGCTTACATATTCTGCTGGTAATCTGTGAAGTGACAGGAGAAAAATAAATTGGGAATTTGGGAATTAAAATTTAACTTGGGAATTAAAATAGCTGTGCTACTTTCCTTGCCGTGCTTTGCAACTGAGACTTATTTTAGAATTTGTAACTCTGAATGAGAAGTGAGGTAAAGACCATTTCCTTTTCATTCTCGTAAGAGGCTAACATTATTCTGGCATTCGTTCAGTCGATCCTTCACTCATTTATGCAGCAGGTGTTTTCTGAGCTCCAACTGTGTGCCCAGTATGGTTCTAAGCAGAAGGGATACAGTGGTGGAGCAAGACAGAAACACAATTGCTGCCCTCCCTATGTGGCCAGTTTGGTGTTGGAAAAAGAAAATGAACAAGCCAGTATATCAAAATGAGATAAAGGTATAGACAGGAGGACACGTGGCAGTCCTGGGAAGGTGGGCTGGATCTGGAAGGGTAATTCTGAAAAGAAAGGCTCACCGAAGGAAATGAAATCCACACGGACACCTAACTGGAAAAGGCATGGAACTTTGCAGACAGAACATTCAAAGGCTGAATGGTGAGACAGCACAGTTCATTTGAGGATCTGAACAAAATGAAGTTGGTTGGAGTACACATTTTTGAGGACGGATGACCAGAGCTGGAGCTAGAGACCAGAGACCAGATTGTGAAGCGCCTTTAAACCAGGTTACTTTCTTAGCTAAATACATGGAGGTTAGGATGACCTGACTTCCAGATCTTGGAATCAGTGTGCGTGTAGAAGACACTAGAGAAGTTGTATGTTTATTGAAACTCAAGACCACCTGATAGTGTTACTAACTGAAGATTGACTCATTCATTTAACAATCTTAATTTAACAGTGGTGTGCACCAGGCACTTTGCCAAGGCTAGGTAGCAATCATTTTAACAATCTCTTTGGTATTACAAGGACAGACTAGTTGAGGTCTTTTTCGTCTCTGCTACTGACTGGACTCTAGACATTTTGATCACTTGAAGTCCTTAGGCATTTAACTTCTCTGTACTTCATAAATTCCCTTTATACTTGGAAATTAACCAAAATTTCTAGTATGCTTTACACTGCATTAGTTATACAAGTACCTATTGAGTTGAACTGATTGTCTGAGAAAGTCATTGTATGTAAGTTAGTGACTTTATTCCCTGAATCACCCAACTTTATCCTCACTGCTGGGATGAGAACTGATTTTCAGTTCCTTGAGGAATAAAGGATAGAAATTTTACTATTTCTGGGCCTTTGCAGCTAGTAAAGTTGTCATAACACAGTTTTTGGCTTGTAAGTGTAGTGTAATGGAAATTGTTGAAATTATCTATGTATATCACATGTGAATGGTTTTCAGATCATTTTGCCCTTTCCAATTGGTTTAAATTAAAATCACCAACTCATAAAAAATTCCCTATTCCCAGGATTTCATAAGTCTTTCCTACTATTGTAACTTGAATCTATGTAGGAATGAGCCTCAGTAGCCTGAAGACACAATACCTGAGTCTCATGGGTACCCTAAACAAAAAGATGCCTGGGATTTCCCTAAAGTAACTTAAATCCTTCAGATAAAGAGAAAGTTGAATAGCTCTAAGACTTACTTAGGGAAGATGCCTGGGATGGATATTAGTACCTTAAATATTCTGAGTATGGTCTTTGGATATCTGTTTCCTGTCTGATCCCCTCCAGGCCTTCACCTCTCACATATCTGGTTATGTTTTGATTGTGGCTTCTGTCACACTGAAAATGTGGCTAGCAGACCAGACACATGGAGTATTTCATATTTTGTTAGAAATCCTCAGATATTAAGATCATGAGGTTATATTTTCTGAACTTTTATTGACTTACCATATTATTGACTTCTTTTAGATTCCGTCTGATTTTGTGTAATGCCTGAGTATGTGTTCTTCTAGTTGGTTTATATTAGTGACTTATGGTCCAGACATACAGAAAAGTGAACAAAAACAGACATGCTTCAAATATTTGAAAAGTATTTATATTTAATATACCAACTAGACTTTGTTTTGAAGTAAATATGTGAACAAATGATCAAACTTAGTATACTTTTAGGTTATTTAATTAAAAGAGTATTGCATGAAACTGTAGGAAGACGTTTCCAGACTTGTTAAATATCATGTCTATTATATATGGTGATTTGTGGAATATCTTGCTAAATAATTTGATCTTTGTCATCTAATGCTAGTATACTAATAAGATCCTACCACACACAAAGACTTTGAGGTTTTATATTTGGAATGTAAAATACAAAATTCATATTATACCATCACATAATAGAGAAGTTGCCAAGACTCAGAAAATTGAAATGACCCACATGAGGTCACAGAGTAAGTTAGAAATAGAAGCAGGTTTAGTCTTTTGACTCCAGTCTAGTTTTATTTTCTTATTTACCATGTTGTTTTCTCTCCAACTTAATACAGGTTTAATTTTAACTTATTCAAGAACTCCAGCAAATCTTAGCACTAAATGTATGCATAGGACAATGGGACAAGCACAAAACACAGCTGATGCCCTTGACAACTCTATTATCTGCTAATGTAGAAATGTGATATTTTTTCTTTATTAAGTGAATGTATAGTAAGTGTGATATCGTAGGAGAGGAGGGCAAAACCACAGACATAGACAAGCCCAGTCCAACGAGACATTTTCCAGAACGCTTAGATTTATTAGACATCCATTTCATACAGTGACAGTTTGTCTCTTTAACTGAGTGTGTCAGTTAAGCCCGAAGTCTTCTCTGTGTTCCCACTTCAAAGATGAGACAAACAGTTAACAAAAAAAAAGAGAAGAAGCCTTTCCACTTAACCTATCATAATAGTTATTTTTAAGTTCCTTTTTCTCTCTTTCTCTCTGTAGACAACCAACAAAAAGTACCCTTATTTTACTTTCCTTTTGTCAAGTGTTACAAGAATTAGGGGTCCATAGGGAAGAATTGAATTCCTCAGTCATTGGGAGATGTTACTGTTTCTCTTTTCCTTTTTAAAAATGTTTACTAAGCATCAGTTTCATGTAAGAAATAGATAAAAGGTGAAGACTGTTGCTTGTTCAGATATTTACTTACTAATAAATCCTAAAAGGTACAATACATATGGGATAGAATAAATTTACAATTATAGCATTAAGAGTACAGAATCCAGCCCTCTTTAGGGATGATGGAAACTTCATGGAGCAGATGTTATTCAAATTAGGCTTTGATGATACTTAAGATTCTGACAGGTGAAGACTGAGAAGGCATTTCAGACACTTACAAGGTCTCTCCAGGGACTAGAGTATGATGTGATATGGCTGGAGCTGGGTCGGAGGGGTGGGGCACGGTTAGGCATAATGGAATCCATATTGCTATGGATGTGTATATCCATATGTTCTTCCTTAGTTGCCCGTTAGTTTGGGGCATAATTAGAAAAAGAAAGAGAATCTCTATTTCAGTCATCAATCTCTACCTCTCTATTAGTCATCAGTTTTAATATACATAGGTACACTTACATAATGTATGGCTCAACTGATTTGTCATAATCCCCTAAGATCACCTGGCGAAGGGATGTTTATGTGTTCAGGTTTTCCTGCCTTACACCAGGAATGGACTTGTTAGCATGTCTAGAAAGAACTTTATTTTTCATTTTTCTCCCCT